CCCATTGACCACTGAAGTAAAAGAACAGATAATATTGTTGAAACACCAACTTAATCTTTTGGACCTGGAAGTGATGAAGGATAAGATAAAGGTGGCAAGGCAGAAACACTTTGAGTCAGCCAATAAATTAGGAAGATGGCTCACATTTGGACTAAAAAAGGAGAAACAGAGTAGACGAATTGAACAATTAGAAGGTAAGGATGGGAATTTAATAAGAGATAAGGGAGAGAAAGAAAGAATTGTGGTGGACTTCTATAAGGAATTATATAGGAAGAAGGAGATTTTGGCAGGAGAGACGAAAAAGTATATAGAGAATTCGGATTTACCTAGGATATCTAATTTGACGAAACAAATTTTGGAAGAGGAAATTACTTTAACAGAGATTGAAAAAGCAGTAAAGAAGCAGGAAAATTCAAAAACACCGGGCACAGATGGACTCCTGGCTGAGTTATACAAAGCATTGTTTGAAGTAATGGGGGAACACATGAAGGATTTATTTAATGAGGTGCTTGGGAAAGCAGATTCCCCATTCATGGAGGGAGGCCAATATTAGCTTAATACCTAAAGAAGATCCCCCTCCGACAGATATAAAAAACTATAGACCAATATCCCTCCTGAACTCAGATTATAAAATATTTACAGCAATTTTAGCACATAGATTAAAAGGGTTTCTAAATGAATTTATACATATTGATCAAAACGGGTTTTTACCGTCACGACAATTACGAGATAATCTGAGAGTTATGCTAAATGTACTTGAATACTATGAAAACCATCCAGGCAAACAGGTCGCTTTAGTTTTTATAGACGCCCAGAAAGCATTTGACAGGGTCAACTGGGAGTTTATACTATTACAATTAGAACACATGGGCTTTGGACAAAGATTTTTAAATGCAATTAAAGCCATTTACTCTAAACAAACTGCCAGATTATTGATAAATAGTGATTTGACGGTAGAATTCCCTATTGGTAAAGGTACAAGACAGGGTTGCCCTCTCTCCCTCTTACTCTTTATATTATCGTTAGAGACCTTACTGCGTAAAATAAGAAATGAGGAAGGAATAAAAGGCCTTAAAATTAGAGATCAGACATACAAAACCCAGGCCTTTGCAGACGATATGGCCTTTATTTTGGGAGGAATATGAGTCAAGCTCATAGAAATGGCCACTTTAAACCAGATTATTACATGATCTACCATACAGAGCATGAGTCCATACAAAGGAATAAGGAATAGAATGTTGATGATCCTCAAAAAGTGTGTACTCAGCTAGAAACCAATGAACAATGGGATCGTATTTGTTAGAATGAATTCATGCTATCCAGTGACATCAGTGTTACAAAAACTCATGGGCCAGCCTCAGATGCTTTAGTGGAAGCAATTGAGAAATTTTATGGCAAATTGCAAGAAAGGCTAAATGCAGCATAAAGAAAGAAGGTAGTGGGTATTTGGAATGCAGAAACTGGAAAAATAGAGGAATTATGAATTATTGGAATATTTCAATTATGTAAAGCAATCATATTAAGTTTTTAAAAGAGTATTCTTTATTTATTGCATCACCTATTTCAAGCAGCATAAATCAGAACATAGCCATAATCAGATAAACAACATCAGAATAAAAATGTTATATAATGAAAGATGGAGACTGTAGTTCAGTCAGGTTATTTTATATTCCAATACTGATTACAGAATCACTCACGTATTATTGGTGGCAAATATATGGATTTAAATTTAAAAAGTTAAAGAGGCCATATATACTAGCTGTGTATGACCAGAAGACAAGTATATTACAGTAAAACACAGAAATTAGGACATATTGCTGTATATGCTTGATTTTTCAGGCAAGGAAAGTGGGATAAAATGAAATAATTAGGCAGACCGAGGTTTTAGAAAAAGATTTACTCTTTGCATCAGTGACTACAGCAAAGTCTGTGAGTTATATTAAGGAAAATGGTATTCCAGAACAATTGATTATTCTTCTGAAAAATCTTTACAATGAATAACAAGAAACCCTGAGAAAACTTAAATTGGAAGCTGTGGTCCAAGCAACATTATTTTGCTCAAGTGCACAATTCATACTCACTACAATTAAGATATTTACAGCTAAAGCGTGAACTATGGCTATACAAGATCTGAACCTTGACTGGGTACATTTCCAAGAGAGGAACCCAGGTGTTGGTTATGAAGATGCCAGACTGACATGGTAAGATCCATGATAAGATCATGAATGGGGGCAGATTTATTGCAAACTGACCTGGCATTCCAAAGCAGTAACAGGACTCCGGGGCCATCTGATTATCTGGTACTGAAGGTGAATATTGAAGTCTAGATTAAAGAACCATTCTCCAGCAGTGACCCTGACATCCTTGAGTGCAGTTTGTCCACAATTTTGCCCTGTATTTTGAAGCATGATCCTGCTTCACCAACAGCTGTTGCCATCCTAATTCTGGAGAAGGGCTGAAAGGATGGAGCAGAGATCTTGCAATCTGCCCTGGAAAATTCTCCTTCCACATTCTGTAGGTTGGTGCCTTTGAAACCATGGTCCATATTTTTCTTTATTGCAACTTTTACAGGGATGCTCATCTTGAATTGGATTCTGGGCATTCTAATAATATTTATTTACACTGTTTATTCTCTAAATGTAAGAAAATTTTGATATACCATATGTAAACTCTACCCCCAGATGGCTGATAACAACTAATGATGTAGTTTAGGTACTTATTTTATTATATATGTTCCATGACAATACTGCTGCAATAAATTTACCCATGCCATTAGGGCCATTTAATTGGTAAAAACTATGCCCATGAATGTGCATATTATCAATCAAGTTTAGCCTTTTAAAGTATTCCTTTTTATATTACTTTATTTTATACCACACTGTTATAGTTTCGATATTTAGAATATTCATATTATAGTTTATTGGTAAATTTTAAATTTTTCGCATTAGCTGTTTTTATTTATAGTTATTATCCTATGGTTTTATACAAATTATCCTTCTAGTTTTTGAATTTATACAGCCACTATATTATAAGAATGGCAGGGTGAAGTGTTGAAACCCTTATAATTTGAAATATGCAGACAATTTCACATTGTTATATGAAAATAAAAAAAAAACAACATTGAGAAAAACCCATTATGCTCGTGAAAATTCTGGATTAACCTTGAGTGAAAGTGGTAAAGAGCTTTTCTTTTAAAAATATGCTTGAGAAATAAAGAAGTTTAATTCTAGGAATAAAAATAATCACAAACTTTGACAAGAACGTAAAGATTAGGAAAATCTATTGAGAACAAAGATCAAAATAATTAAAGCTATGTTTTTTCCAGTAGTGATGTATCACGGTAAAATTGAACATGGTGAAAGAATTTTTTTTAAAAAAATTATGTGTTTGGAGACAGTAAAAATATTATAAAATTCATGAAGAACCAGTCAGTTTTAACCAAATAAAAACGTATTGGTCCCTTGAATCAATGAATGTGTGTACTTTGGACATACGATGTAAATGGTGAAGTAGAAGCACATGGTACAGTAAGCTGGAAAAAGTCAAAAATGCAAATATAACATTTAAGGCAAGTAGATGGATGGGACAATTTTTTTTTCTGAAATAGCCTTTGAAATAGCTATGGGCTCTTTTGTAACATTTATTCTTGTAAACAAAATAAGTTGATGAGCATTTGTCCATACTGTGACTAGGAAGTTTAATCTGAATTGAAGGAACCTAATTCTATTTTTTCCCAGTCCATAGATTTTATTTGAAGTTAAAATAGATTTCTATTCTTATTCCCCCATTACCTTTGCTTCCCACACCACTTGCCAAATATGTTTGCTCTACTGACGGTGAAGCATCAGCAATGGGAGGTGTACTGTCCCTCATGTATAATATGTCTAGTCAGTTGCTCTACAACTTGGTAATAACTTGCATCCTAACATGCTGCAAAATAGCCCAAAAGGCCATAAAATGGGAAGGGTGTGAAGCATTAACAGAGATTAGCAATGACTGAGGAGAGAGATGGACAGCTGTCTTTTCCTTTCTTATTTGACACCAAGCTCATCCAGTAAGTGGAGAGAAAGGTAGATAGCATGTACGTAAATAAGTGTGGCTGGCTGAGAAGAAAAGAAAAACACTGGATTTTACTAAGGTTGCATATAAGAAAAACTGATTACATTATACAACATTTTTTTTGACATTTCTGAATAGGCTGTATGAAAAATAAATAAGTCTGCATTTCTAAAGAAAAGCTTTTCTGCAGTCTCTTTTATGCGTCTGGTCTCTTATTTGCTGCGTATGCTTCCAAACCAGCAGATTGGCTGATGGGCATAGGTTAAAAAATAGTAGCACATTGCTGTGCTAATTATAACAGCCTCAACTGTCTTAGCAATAGGTGATAAATTTGTGAATGTTACATGGAAAATGTTGCTTCCTTATTTCATATAATATGTAAAAGAAACAGATGGTTGCCATAAGATGAATGAATGTACAGTATTGTTTATTAGAATAATTGCCAGAATATTAAAACATTTTTCTGGCCAAAAGCTGTATTTATTGAGGATCTATTTGAACTAGTTAATAAAAATCTGTTAGTTATGAACTTCAGCTTTCATCTTGAGAGGTTTTAATCAGTTTAACCATTACGATGCAGCTTCACATGTTATCTGACAACAAGGTTGCCTTGCATAGGTACAAAACTCGGCCTAAGGCAAATGCCACACACCAGGTTTATTAAACATTTATGCAATTTACATTTTCAGACTACTTCCTAAATTCTGAATCAATGACAAGAGCAATGTGTGTATCTCACTACATGAGCAATTGCTTGATATTTTGGAATTCCTGACAATGATTTTGTTTCTGTGTCCTGCTCTTGAATGTTGTTGTGTGAAGTGTTAATTCTTTAAAAATGTTTACTGTGTAAACATTCTGCTTATTATTTAGTCCCATGTTTTCATTAAACATTAAACCTCAGGGCATAAAAGTTCCTAAAAATCTTTCTTTCTTTACAGAGCTTGTGTCATCTTGGGCGTGATATTTCTTCTGTCCTCTTTATGTATAGTGATCAAAGCCATCCATGACCTTGCAACTAGGTTGCTTCCAGAAGTGGTAAGATCTTTTTTTAAAAAATAGTAATAATAATAATCCTAAATTTCAATGTTTCAGTAAGAAAGGTTGTTATGCAGCTGCATCTGCTCTTTTGTAACTTTGCATAGTTCTATGGCAAGTTTATCTTTTATAGCGTCAAACAACGTGATGTCAATTTTATCTTTTGTATTAACATACCAATCCATTCACTTCTAGAAATAAAAAATTCCAGAAATGTGCTGTGGCCAAAAGTTGGATTAGGAGTAGTTAGCATTGGGGAAATGTTAAAAAACTGGAATTTGCTCAGATTTCCTGAGTTGTAATCTGCAGTGTATGTTACAGTTGAGGAAATTTTGTAATGGTACAGTACAAGGTTATTCAGAATAGTTGCAACGATAGGAAATAAGTGGTGCTCTTGTGCCTAAGATTCTAGAGTGCCTAAGCTATTTATTCTATTGTAGCTAAATGTTGTTAAGGAAGTACTGTTTTCTTGAGGTTCTACAGACTTAGAGCTGTTTAAAGTGAAATTATATTCTCCAAAACCCTCTTTTATGTAGAATCAAGATTGCACTTATTATTATTGTTCATCGCATATTCAGCCAGATGTTTAGGCTAGGTTTGGCATTTTTATCGATCTATTGAGTCCTTCCCAAGGACATGAGATAGCCAGATGTTGCTGTTTGATGGTAGTAAAGCAGTGGTAGGTTGCTCCCGGTTCGCACCGGTTCGTGCAAACCGTTGGTGAAAATTTGGCCAAGGTTGCAGAACTGGTAACGGCCAGCTGGCCACGCCCCCGAACCGGTTCCCCCTGGCTGCCATGCTTCTTGCCGCCATGTTCTTCACGCACGTGCATCCCATTGCCTTGCAAGTCCAATGGGATGCACATGCGCCAGGAACATGGTGGCAACAGCAGCAGCTTTTTCTGCCGATACGTTTTGGCGGCCTGCAGAGAAAGCGGCTGCCAAAGAAGCCTTTTCGGAGGCTTTTTTGCCTGCTGCTTTCCAGCAGTTCCGGCTGGCTGGGGGCTGCCGAAAACTACAGTCAGTTTGCCTTCCGGACTGTGGACCAGCCGTGGAAGGTAAGCACCCTAAACAATGAGGCGGTGGTGGGGGAGGAAGGCAGGCAAGCGGGCCTGGCCACGGGGATTTCCGGGACGCCCCTCTGCTGCTCCCACACCACTGATGTCTGCAGCGGCAAAAGCCACACAGGAAAAGTCCCTGGGAATTCCGGGACTCCCTGCCGCCACCGCCGCTTTAGCCCCCCCCTCAGCTGACGATCTCAGCTTGGATCGTGAGAGGCATTTAAAAAAAAAAACTTTTTTTCTTTTAAATGCCTCTCATGATCCAAGTTCTGACGAGGGCAAAAGCCGCGCAGGAAAAGTCCCTGGGAGTTCCGGGACTCCCTGTCGCTGTCGCCTTGCCACCCCCCCCCAAGCTGATGATCTCAGCTTGGATCGTCAGAGCCATTTAAAAGGAAAAAACTTCAAAAGAAAAAAAGTTTTTTTCTTATAAATGGCTCTCACAATCCCAGCTCAGTTGACTGATTGGCAGAGGGCTTTTAAAAAACCCTCTGCCAATCAGGCAACTCAGCTTGGATCGTCAGAGCCTTTTGAAAGCATTTTTTTACAACCTCTTCACAGAAGAGAAAAAATGGTTTTAAAAGTAAAAAAAAAAATTGGCCACGCCCACCCAGTCACATTACCCACCACCACCACCAAGCCATGCCCATAGAACCAAGCCATGCCCACAGAATCTAAAAAATTTTTTAGATTTCACCATTGAGGGTGGGAGAGAGAGAGTGAAGGAAAGAAAGAGAGGGAGAGAAAAAGAGCCAAAGAAAATGAGAGAAAGAGAAAAAAAAGAAAGAAGGGAGAGACAAGAAAGAAAAAGATAAATACAAAAAAAGAAAGAGAAAGAAGGAAAGGAAGGGAGAGAGGGAAAAAGAATGAAAGAAAAAGAGACATAGAAAAAACAAAGAGGAAGGAAGGAAGGGAGAGAGAAAGAAAGAGAAAGAGAAAGAAAGAAGGAAGGAAAGAGGAAGGGAGAGGGAAAAAAGAATGAAAGAAAAAGACAGAAAAAACAAAGAGGAAGGAAGGAAGGGAGAGACAAAGAAAGAGAGAGAGAGAAAGAAAGAGAAAGAAGGAAAGAGGAAGGGAGAGAAGGAAAAAAGAAAGAATGAAAGAAAAAGAGACATAAAAACAGAGAAAGAGAAAGAAAGGAAGGAAGGTAAGAGACAAAGAAAGAAAGAAGAGAAAGAAAAGGAAAGAGGAAGGGAGAGAAAAAAGAAAGAAAAAAAGAAAAAGAGACAGAAAAAAAAAGAAAGAGAAAAGAGAAAGAAAGGAATGAAGAGGAAGGGAGGGAGAGACAAGAGAGAAAGGAAGGAAGGAAGGAAGGAAGGAAGGAAGGAAGGAAGGAAGGAAGGAAAGAAAGAAAAGAGGAAGGAAGGAAGGAACACAAACCCTGGCACTAGACATGGCTTCAGAAGACGCTTTGAAACAGGACAACAATCTAGGCCTGGAAGGGACCTTAGAGGCTATCTAGTCCAACCCCCTGCTTCAGCAGGAAACCTTACTGGATTATTTTGGTGCCTCTAACAGAGAGGAAAATTGTCAGAAAGGAGAAGTTTACTAGGACGAGGCTGCCATGCAGAGAAAGGCAGAGATAGTCCTTGATTTATGACCAGAATTGAGCCCAAAATTTTGGTTGCTAAGCAAGAGTGTTGTTAAGTGAGTTTCACCACATTTTACTCAATCCATGATCTCTCCTGGCTCTAACAGTCATGTGCAGGCTAGGGAAGTAAATCTGAAGGCGTGTGTAATGTTCTAAATGTACAGAAGTTATAGTTAAATGTGTGGCAGAAAGTGGACTCTGGGTGTGTTTTTCCAAATGTAGTGAGGGAGGTTGAATATGTATAGTTTTAGAAGAGGTGTGTGTGTGTGTGTATGTGTACACACACATACAGTATATATAGTAAATAATGTATCTTTTTATGTGCCTATACACTATACTATGTAATATGTATGTACACATATGGCATATGTACATAGGATTAAATAGTATATTTTGGATGTTCAGTAGTAGTAAATAAATAGACAGGGAAATTGTATCTCGTTGAGGCCTTTGAGGCGAGGAGAGGCCAGGCACCCTAACCATAATCCTTGACATAAGTGATGTCAAGCTGGCCATGCCCACCCAGTCACATGACCACCCAGCCACACCAGTCACGTGACCAAGCCATGCTCAGTCACGTGACCACCAAGCCATTCCCATACAGTCACATGACCACCCAGCCATGCCCACCAAATAAGCCACGCCCACAGAACCGGTAGTAAAAAAATTTAGAACCCACTCCTGGATTGGTTGGATTTGCACTCAGCTGCCCAGTATCCCTTTTTCTCACACTTGAAACAGGCAGTGGAACATTATTGAGGGCTCTGGGTGCATGCCTACGCTTTTGGGATTTCTCTCCTTTCCAGGAAGGATTTCTGCCACCCCTTCCCTGGGCGATGTTTGTTTCAAGCTAGATCGATTTCTATCTCTTCTCCCAGCATGCACCAGCCATGAAGGTTACGGGGCCCCTCCTGGAGATGCAGGTGTTATACTATATTTAGACCTTGTTGCTTAGCCTGTCTTTGAAGAGCCAATGAGGATGTCTTGTGGCCAGTCAGTGAGCCTGCAAGCCAGGTCACAGAACTCTTGACTGTACTCAACCACATTCTTCTGTCCTTGGCTGATGGCCTTGCGGTCAGCCAGTGGGTCTTTGAATCATTTGTGGAGTGCCACCATGAACCCATTGAAGTTCCTCAGCTCTCAGTTGTCATTATGGAGGGTGACCATCCACCTTGCTGCAACTCCTTCTAGGGCCATGGTGGTGCATCTCATCTTGCTGCCTTCTGTAGCTATTTTGGGACCATATCCCTGCATGTAGGTCCAAACCTGGGCTAAAAAGAACCCCAGCTGCTGGGGATCGCCATCAAACGTCATGCCCAGTGGAGGGGTCTTGCGGTTCCTCCTCCTTACTGATGTCAGCCCCACAGGGGGGCCGTGCTGACTTGCCCCCTTAGTTTTGGGGTAATGGAGGTCACCGCTGCTGCTGACCCAGCTCTGGTGCTGCCCACTGCAGTGGATGCTGTCACCCTGCCAATCGCTGTGTCTGGAAGAGGCTGGTCATTGGGTTGTGCACTTTGGGCAAGGGTTTTGCATGCCTTGAGATTCTCAAAAGCTCCCCACATAAACTTTATGACTTGCTCCATCACACAGTCGGCCTGGCCATGCTCTCCACTCATCTCTTCTTCCTCCTCCAGCTCTTCCACCTCCATTTGCTGTTCCTATTTGTGGCTGCCACAGCTCCATTTGTTGTTCTCATTGGTGGCTGCCACAGCTTCCACAAATAAAGGTCATCCCCATAGCTCTCTTTTCCCAATCCTACTTCCTCCTGACACCTGGGTCTCGGCAGATTACTGCAGTTTTGCAGTACTGCAGAGCAGTGGTGGTTTACCCCTGGTTTGGCCTGGTTCCGCCGAGCCAGTAGCGGTGACGATATGACGTCACCAAACCGGTTCTGCCCCCCGGCCCCCCACCCTCCGCATTATTCTTACCTTTTATTTGGCCCCACCCCCATCTATTGCTGCATCCTGAGTCCCAGCTGATGGCTAGAGGGAAAAAAACCTGTTTAAACTCTTGCTGCGGGGCCTCAAAGGGCCGCCCTACAGCTGATCAGTATTAAAAGAAAACAAATGAGTAGACCAGTGCCTGCAAAAATAAATGGGTAGATCAGTGCCTGCAAAAATACATGAGTAGATCAGTGCCTGCAAAAATAATTGGGTAGACCAGTGCCTGCAAAAATACATGGATAGACCAGTGCCTGCAAAAATACATGAGTAGATCGATACAGCTCTGCAAGCAGTTAAAAGCCAGGTAGACCAGTACCTCTGCTAAACCCTAAATAATTGTCACATGACCATCAAGCCACACCCACAAAATAAGCCACGCCCACAGAACCGGTAGTAAAAAAATTTAGAA